CTCGGCTGCTCCTCAGATGTATTACATCACCATCATACCCACGATAACAATAAAGAACACTCTTCGCTGAATGATGGCTTTCATTCAACAGTTACCAAAGCATGTGTGCTGACTGAACTTTCCCTCAAAGTGGAGCGCAGAAATACTGCATAAACAAAATAATTAGCTCCCCGGTTCCCACAAAAGCTGGCGACGTACCAAAGAAACATGGTTAGCAGAGATTCATGGGAGTTATCAGAACAGTTGGAATACATCTCAGACTTACAGTATCAGACTCTTTGGGTGTGGCCAGCAGTTGTATACCGCACAACATTATTCGCAATGACATCAGATGAATGTTCAGGTCGCAGCTGGAAGGAGCAAAGTGAGGCTGGAGTGCACAGTGCTTCAGTCATCGGAGATTGTTTTTGATTAAATCAAATTATTCTAAATTTAGGGAACTGGAACTGTGTCAGCGCAAATTAGATGGTCTGTGACATGCACAGGATAGAAGCTAAGTAGTCAAAGATCACACACACACACACACACACACACACACACACACACACACACACACACACACACAGACAAAATTCCAGTCCCGCCATGAAATGCCGTTTCATAGCTGAGGGTGTGGTGGTTGTAGCGTCCACTGACCAATCAACACCAAGCTTTGATAAGAGCCAGGAGCAGAGGCTGGAACGTGTGTGTCCACGCTACACTCAGAAATACACACACTGATACTTGGTTACACACAAACACACACACACACACACACACAGCAGCGGGATCCTACTGTTGTGTGCTCCGTGGTAGGTTGGCACGCTGAGGGGAAATGGGGGCTGTGAAAACTCTACTGGAGAGATGCTGCTGGCAAAGCGAAGGTGTGTGTATGAGTGTGTGTTGGAGGCGGAGGTCAGAGAGAAAGCGGTGGAACTACGGAGGACGCAAAAGGAGAAGCAGGCGGGCCAGAAAACAAGGTGGCAAAAGAGGCAAAGGTGACAAAAACAGAGGACTTAATAAGAGAGAGAAATGAAGAAAAGCGGAGGTTACGGCAGGAAAGAGCGAGAAAAACAAAGTCGGGATAAAGACGGAGAGCTGCGAAGGGAGGGGAAATAAAAAAAAAGCGAGAGAAAAAGCCAGACAAGGCTAGAGAAAGCAGAGAAGGTGTTGCTTGTAAAAAACTTGCCAAAACTTCCTCAAAGTGCCGTTAGCAAGGGAACAGAAAAATAGGCAGTTAAAATCAGAATTAGTTTGTCTAAAGCTGGCTCAGGCAGCTCGCAACCGCTTCCAGCAGCGAGTCCATTCAGCTACACACACACACTTATTCAGCTTGACATACAGCACATATAAAGACGCAATCATACACATATAAATCTCGACAGAACTTAAGCATGCGAACATAAAGAATTGGATTTATATTTTCACACACGGACAAAAACTTTCCCGACTCAATCAGTTGAAGGCTCCCTCTAGAGTTCACAGATTTTAATTTGCCCACATTTCACAGAGGTTGAGGCAACAGTTTGGAATTTGCAGCTCTAAAAATCAACACTCCAGGGTGTGTGCGCGGTTTTTGTATGTATGTCTATGCGGTCCCCAGAGGGCAGGTGTGAACTGAACCCGAGAGAGAAAAGCCGTCCCTGTTTTCCAATTCATTTTACCCAGCCTCGTTAAGCCTGTTAAGCCTCCCCCCAAAACCCTCCACTCAAATTAGATGCAAATGAGGTCTCAAGTGGCTTCCCAAGGAGGACATTACGGAATTGACTGGCCTGAGGTAATCTGCGAGGCTGCCTGTGAGTGCGTATGTGTGTGTGTGTGTGCGAACAGTTGAGGCCACCACTGTTTTTCTCTCGTTAACCTTTCCAAACGCTCTGTTTACAATAGTGAAGAAAATCTGGCTTTTAGAGAGATTGATTCTGTAGTTATGACAGGTGGCTCCGGAGATCACGTCCGCCGTGTGCTTCCACATGCGGCAGAAGGAAACTGCGTTCAAAGTTTTATGCTGTGCGTAATAGAGAGGGTAAGTAGGGAACAACTCTGGAGTTTAAAGAACCATGCTGGTGGTTTTTAATGCCCTACAGTGACAACCGTTTTCCATACCGACTGATTTCCTGCGTTCTGAGCAGCCCTCGAAAGAAAAGAAGGAAAAGAGAAAGCCATTGTATTATTTTTCAGTGTTGCGTATCAGTTTGTCGTGAAGTTATTTCATCACGAGTCCCTATACTTTGCTTCTTTGTCGTACCCAATTTCCCTCACCGCGTCATGTACTTCTACTTCACTTAACGGTGATACTCTACATTTGTTTTCAGCAACCGTCACACAGTGTGTCTAAATCTGTTTGATTCGGCACATGTGCCTTCAGAGAGTGATAAAGGGAGAGGCAGCGTGGTAGCCGAAAAAGATTTTCCACTGAAGATAAGGCGAGAGCCGTCTCCCTTAGTCAAATGCCACATGTCTTGTGGTCTTGTTGCACATTATTCTGCTGCGGCGAGACGAATATTGGACTCTTCGCCGTGCATTTCTGTTTATGTAACTGTTTCTGCAGAACGGTGAGTCAACAAATGTTTGCCGTGTTAGTTTGTGCGTTAACCAGTAATTTCAGCATTAGACGAAAGCACAGAACACAAGTTTTACTCTGACGTTTGGTCTAAAATAACTCTGCATCAGTAAAAGGGTATTGAAATAAACAGCTTGATACTGAAAAGCATTTTAAGTTCTTAGTATTCTTTCGTGCATGGGTCTTGGTGCAGTTTTGCTGGCTAAACTGACGCATATCAGTGTCCAGCCAGTTGCCTCAACATTGCAATGTTGCATTTCCTTTAAAAGTTAGGAAAAACGTTTCTAATAACCAATTCATTTAATTTAAATGTAGTGAAATGTTAGTGTTGAATGCCCGTTTTTGTTGCCATAAACAGTTAAGTTATACCCTAAAACCAAATGATAAATCAATGTTAGTATTACATTAGAAAGTTAGAAGGAGGTTGTACTGATGAGTCCATGCATGCTGTGGAACTAAATTTAGCTTCTATCTATTAGCACAACCTTAGGCAACTATTTACTATGCAACGTTGCAAATATGGCCAATTTAAAAATCAAAACTGATCAAAACTTTAATTATAAGTTAAGGAGATTTCTAAATCATTCAGACAGTTTTAGATTCTTTGAAGCAAATTAGCATTTTTACCCAGAAGTTAACAAATTTTGGCATTTTTGCTCCTGGATTCTGTTGTCCACGTGGACTTTATCTCAGCTGTCAAACTGAAATCCCTGCTCAGGGCAATAATGCTCATCTCTCTTTCTTAAAAAGTTTCCCATCTGCTGTAACCTTTAGAACTGGAATCTCATCCATTTTAATGTTTCCCATCTCAGACTCCCTAAAATATATCTGCAGGAGAGAAAGCGAGATGAAGGCAGGCGGAGAGGGAGAGAAAGCGGGAGGGAAAGAGCAACTCTTGGCCGAAGTCACATCTGAAACACTGACCTGGATAAATCAGGGAAACATAAACACATAGTTTCTGGAGTGAGAGGGGTGGGAGGGGGCGCTGCTACCCCAAATATTCCACCCAGGGGACCCCAGCGAGAGGGAGAGGACCCCCTTATCCCACCTCCCCATCTCAACCCGCTCTAATTATTTATTTTCTTAGGGTGTAAATGTCTTCAGGGGATTGCTGTGTAAAAGCCAACAGGTCCTCGGAGGTCACAGCAGCCCTATGGGATGGAAGAAGTATGGAGTTCGCTGTTCACACTCATATCTATGCACACAAGAAACACAATCACATCAGTGCAAACACATAGACACATATACATGTAAGCAAACACATGCAAAAGCTGGAAAAAAAAATGCTCACACACATGCTAATCATATGTTGATTTCCACCAGTGCCCCCCACATACACATCCACAAACACGGCCCCCCACCTTCCTCTGCAGCCTACTGATTGTGTTTGTTGTCTCAGGGTTAGGTCTGTTGTCGATCCCCTGCAGGGCTTTTGGCTGCTCCGTTATCATGCATAATCACTTCCATACCTTAACAGCAAAGGTGTGTGTTTGCGAGTGCCTGTGTGTGGCTGCGCTGGTGTATACGTGTCAAGATCAGGCTGGAGGTGGCAGCAGCGCCTGTCAGGGGTCTGTCTCTGCCTTAGGAATGAATATCATTTATAACTAACTGTCACCAGGTTTGCGAAAGGTTTTTGCATATAAAAAAAAAAAAACAGCGTTCAGGATTTTTACACGGATCACTGAGGATCCAGCCCCAGTTTTAGGGTCCAGTGTGAAAAACTTTGGAAAGTCCAACTCACCCCAAAGGGAGCGTTGCCGACTACGAAGAGACTTTAAGGAGCTCTTCTCACGTTTGTTTCTGACCTGTTAAATATTCTCTCTAACAGCTAGTTCAGGACTGTTTTCTTAACTGCTCCCATTCATTGGGGTCACTGGTGAACAATACTGGCTTCCTTTTGGTAGTTAAGAGCCTTAAATGTCTCTAAAAAGCAGCCAACATCCACCTAGATTCACTTTATCCACTTCTGTTTGAAGTGTTTCCTTTATTTTTTGTAAGTTGAGTCTTTGTCATGGCAACGAAAACAATCAAAGTTGCTCAGAGGTATTGGTTACGGATCAGAACAGGATCTTAAAATGTAAAATGAGAAATTACTGGATAAATGTTGCTTGAAAAATAAAATGTTGATTGAGTTGATGCGCCTGAAAGACTTGAGCAACGTTAATGGGAAAGTGATGGAGGGTTTAACAATGCAAGATTAACAACAGTGTCTTGAGAGTTTTAAAAAAATTTCTATCACATCTGCAAATTAGTCTGCGTGAAAGTTAAAAATATCTAGAGGACATGCTATGTTGAGTTTACTAAACAAGATGTACTGTAGCCCTCATACAGATATATTAGAGGAACACTGGAGTGATGCAAAGGGACAAAGGACGCAGGATAAGTTGACACTGTGGTGATCAGTAGGACAGATGATGGAGAGCAGTCACATCTACTCAAAGTGTAATGCAGTCGCACTTACAAGCGCTCGGCATTCCTCGGTATTCCTTTGGGCACAGTCTTCAAACCCAAACCCTGGCAGTCCACATGCGACCCGGAGCAGCTACACTTGTGTGGGCATCCATCCACCGACGCAGCGCACACCAGCGAAGCTAAAACCAGAACCCAAACCCGGCAGAGCGCGGCGCGCTTCTCCGGCCCTGTCGGAGGCATGATATCCACTGAAATTACTTCCAACCGAAGTTAATTGAAAATCCGCGGGGTGGGGGGAAAGTCGACGCTGTGGAAGTGAGGATCCTGCAAAACGTCAAGACGGGCAGTTCGACTGTGCGGAGGAATTAAAAAATAAAATAAATAAAACTAGGTTCGCTGTTGCACAAGTTCACCAAACTTTCTCTCCAGAGACCCGATCTGTAAGAGTCTCCTTAAAACACTCCCTTGCCATTGAAGAAAAAGAAGAAAGTGAGGATGTAGATGTGACACAACAGACAAAAAAAAACAAAAAAACTTTTGAAACACCGAACCGTGCGTCACTCAGCTCGATGCGTAAAAGTCTCCCCAAACGCTCCCCATTCACAAACTCTCCGAGAAGTTATCAGCCTGACTCCTAAACTTTCCAAGGTGAGAATGTTCAGCTGGGGTGTAACCTCCTTCCAGGGAACATCCCTCCGCTGCCAGGGAATTATAAAAAAAAAAAAAAGAAGTGAGAGTTACAGAGGAGTTGTAATCAGAAAAAAAAAAGTTGAGAGAGAGCAGAGGCGCAACTCAGACTGGCACGCCTGGAGGTTGTGAGAGTGAGCGAGTCAGACAGATTTGTATTTAGGTTTCCCCCAAAATCCTCTCCCTCTCCCTCTCGCTCTCTCTCTCTCTCTCTCTCTCTCCCTCCCTCGCTGTCTCCCTCTCTGTTGATGTCACCAGAAAAGCGAGTGAGAGAGCTCCACAAACTTTCTCTCGTCCCTTATCTTCCCCAGAAACACACTGCGCTGCACAAACTCGACTACTTTCCCACAAGGAGGAATAAAACTGTACTCTCAGTCCACAGTAGCAGTGTACATATTTTAGCTAATTTCCCAGCCACTCTTCTTCTTCTTCTTTTTTTTTGTCATGGCCCATTTATCATCTTAATGATCTAGTTTGCGATCATGTGTTGGTTTTGAGGCATGTTTTATTTGAGCCATATCTCCAATGCATCATCCCCAGAGAGTCTATGTGTGTCACTGATAAATGCTTTAACAAGCAGCAGATGACACACAAATGTTGTCTGATCGACCAGTCAGAGTTGGCCAAAATGCAATAAATGTAATTTATCTCTTTATAGTGTTGCCAAACTTCATCACATCCACCGTTAATGAAACTTTTAATTGACACAACTGAGGATTTTAGGTGCCTGATAAGACATGCAAATTTGACTTTGAGGTAAAGTTTCTACATTCTTTGTGGTCATAAACAAAAGCTAAGGTTCACACTCATGCTCCAACTATTCTCACTCACCACACTGATTTCCACACATCAGGGCAGACAGTGACTTCTCAGAGCAGATCCGTGATGAAGGGCTGCAGCAAGTTGCAGTAGTGCTGCTGCCCTCTATTGGTCGAAGTAAAGGGGGGGAGTAAAAAGTGGAGACTTTTGCAGTTTGCAGTTCAGTAATAAGATAATTTAACTTCTAATTAAGTCAGTGTTCTCCAAATTAATGCAATTCATTCAGGGAATTTTTCCTGCAAATATCCAAAAAAAAAAGAGAAAAAAATCTGAGAAGCTTTGTCCGCAGCAGTGTGTCAGTACGTAATGAACAGTAGCAAGCTCATAAATATTGTAATGCCTGGAACCCAAACTGAGTAATTCAGTGTCTCGTTTTAGGATTCAGGCTAATTAAAACATCAGTTTTCCTGTCAGTTGGAGACCCACCAGAGGCAGGCTTGTGGCCAGTTTAATATTTGATCAATTCTGAAGTGAAAGCTGCTGTACACAAATGTGTTATGATGTTAAAGATGAACTCTGCAGAGCTTTTAGAAAACCATCCTTTGTCCAATTTAAAAAAAAAATGTGTCTTTTTGTTTGTATTCAAGAGATCTACTGAGTGTGTACGTTCGTTTTCAGAAACAGCTTGATTCGTGGTCAGTTGTGCATTTTTCACTGCCTTGCTGAAATGCACATTTATGGTATTCGCCAAGGACGAACACGCTTCATCGTTCAGATGCCATCCAGGAGAGGTTAAAGCTTCTGCTATCAGTTTCACATTAACATTTTCAGAATATTATAATTACTAGTATGTGTGATTATTTTCAACAGCAGTAGTAGTGTCCCCCTCATGTACAATCTTAGGAACAACATGCAATTCATGTGTAAAGCTAAAATGAAAGAGATTTTTACTCACATAGCCATACGATGTGTATTTTAGTCATGTGTGTTTGATTCTATGTCAGAGGAAATGCGCAGTGCTTTTCAATTCTGTCTACTTTTTAGATCAGCTGCTGTGTATTCCACCGGCTTTATCTCTATTTTTTCTCCCTCACACGAGCCCCAGACCGATTGAAAGGCCAGAAGATAAAGAAACTGCTTTGGGACCATTTTCAACCTTGTGTCAGATCGATGGCAGCAGCAGGGCAAGCAGAGCAGCGCAGTCCTTCTCCACAGCAGCTAATTCCATCTCCTCCTAGGGGATTCCCATGTGCCCTCTGGCATACAGGGAAACAGGAGTCTCTCCAGAGTTTCCTGGGTCTGCTGTGAGGTTTCCTCCCTCCTGGCTGTGCCCAGGAAGACACAGGAGAGAGCAGCCTGTCAAGGAGGTCCTGAACTGGAGTCTCATGTGCAAAGATGAGAACATAGAAGCAGCATCCAGACTAATACGTCCCAAAGTGAAAGTGCAGACACTTGAGTCTAGACAGAAAGTCTGGCTACTGGTTAACAGTAATTCAATAGAATAAATAATCCAAACAGTTTAAAGTGATAACATCACTTAGCACATGTTGTAAGCATGCCCCTATCCACATCACATGCAGCAATATCAGATGAGCTCTTCTGCTTCCTCTGTGTTTTGAAAATGATTCACACAACACGTAGACACATCATCCCATCGAGAAATCATAAAGCACGGCAAAGCAGACAACACCGGCGAGCCCGAACAAATTCTACAGAACCATAGCAACAATTTTTCAAAGACAACATATTTAGAAAAACAACTGGCAGCACCGACACAGCGTTTCAAGTTCCAGTCAACCATCACTAAAAACAATAAAACAAAGTTATCCAAGTTAATGTTTTGGTGAAGGAGCTCTGTGGTATGATGCTGCTGGCTAATGTCAGCCTGAAATGAATGTGAAACCTGCGACGACTGCGTCTGCACTTCAACAACCGCTACACACTTGTTTACCTAATGCGGCATTATGGGATGTTGACGAAAACTGTTATAAAACATCCGAGGCCTCGTCCCGTGTTCGGTGCAGGCGGTTCTTATTAAACCTGCTGTTTTTCACTATTAATTGAAAATCTTTGACTTGTAATCTAGCAGTAGTTGATGCTGGTTAGCTGACAGTACACAAGGTGGCCTGTCTAAAGCCAGAATTAGACAACATCACGGTCCTTCAATTGCATATTCTACTCTAACTAGACGCATTTTCTTGCCTGTCTGCTGTGTTGCTATTTGTCCAAAGCATGAATGAATGTGACTGCAGTCTTCTCTCTTTCTCTCATACATTTCTCAAGATCTGAGATTGAGCCCTGGATACTTTCAGGTTAATTAAGTGGCATTTAATCATTAAACTGGTGGAAGTGCTGGTCTCCTTGTCACTCTGTAAAAAGCTCCGGTTGTCCATGTGTTACTGTTTGCTGCCGTGCACTCCACTGGTCCTGTTGAACATGAGTCACTCAGGATGACGGAGCGACCGAGTCTGTTTGTGGAGGCCTGCAGCTCATTTTCAACAGCAAATAAGTTTTGAAGGAGACGTAATTGCGACCAGATCCCACTTTCTGTCAACATAACGAGGGAATATTATTGATGAATGTGTTTGGCAAAGGGGCCTGTATCAGTTAAGTGTTCTTCATCAACAAGTCTGATTATTTTTCATTTCATTTTTTTCATTTAATCATTGCATTATTAAACATTTTTAGGATTATATCGAGGCACTGGTAGCATTTGGTTAATGTTAAGGAACGATCATTTTCAAATGAACAAAGAAAGAGTGATGTGAGGCACAATGTGCTTATTAACATTTAACCTTTTTTGTCCTGCTTTAATGGTGAACAGCGAATCAACATACTCAAGTCAGACAGAAACAGAGAAAATCTTTAAGACACTTGTTTTCCTTTTTTATAAATGATTGAACAACTACAGGGCTGCAAGGTGGCGCAGTTGGTAGCATTGTTGCCTCGCAGCAAGAAGGTCGCCGGTTCGCGTCCCGGTGGGGGCACCAGAATCTTTCTGCGTGGAGTTTGCATGTTCTCCCCGTGCAGCGTGGGTTCTCTCCGGGTTTTCCAGCTTCCTCCCACACAGTCCAGAAACATGTTGAGGTTAATTGGTGATTCTAAATTGTCCGTAGGTGTGAATGTGAGTGTGCTTGGTTGTCTGTCTCTAAGTGTAGCCCTGCGATGGACTGGCGACCTGTCCAGGGTGTCCCCTGCCTTCGCCCTAAGTCAGCTGGGATAGGCTCCAGTCCCCCTGCGACCCTAATGAGGATTAAGCGGTGTATATAAAATGGATGGATGGATGAACAACTACACTGATCCAATCTCTGAAAAGTGTATCTCTTTAAAACTTCACAATTATCAGACAGTGGAAGGAAGAGCCGCTTAAAGGCAAAGAACACAGTAAAATAAAAACTGTTTTAGAGAGAGAGAAAATGCTGCTTGCTAATACTGTGGACTTATAAGTTATCTTTAGTACACAAGAACAGACAATCTATATCAAAAAAACCTTTTCTTATACCAGTAAATGTCCTGACCCCAGGGGTGGTAGTACAGTACAGCTTATACCCGCCTCTGCGCAGGAGCTTTTACCACATGTTGACATAAAATAGCCACAAACAGGCAACATATCAGTGCACGTCTTGCAGAGTAAAGCTGCAGCGGGTTGTGCGTCAGTCTTTGTAATCTGTGGTATTTATTGTGTACACAGACTTTTGTTACAAGTATTAGCATTTAAAGCTGTGCCTCCACTCAGCACGCTGTAAGTACCCTGATAAAACTAAGTCGGGGGAGAAGTACTGTCTTAAGGAAAAAGCCAGGGAACAAATGTGCCTTCCCTTGCTGTTCCATAAACAAACAAGCTTTGGGTTGTCATAGCTCAGACGAATACAAACAAGAAGCCAACACATCACTTTTATACTTTGTCAACACAAGAGAAAAACTCTGTGAGCTGCAGGTCGACAAATCTCCGGAAAGAGACGATGCAACGGACGTCATATCAGATAACATCATTACAGCAGCTGATGCAGGGATGTGTGTTAGCAAGAAATGGGGGAAGTATTCAGACTTAGAAAGTAACGACACTGCAACGCAATATTTGTTAAAATGTGAGTCCAGAAAACTGTCTTGTGAGAGCTGTTCTCATTGGTTTATCATTCCTCATGAATCACTGCTATAGTTGATGGAGGTAGAGCCAGTTTTGTCTGTTTAATATCAATGCATTCTGTAAAAGTGTGTTGACATTAGGTGTTAGCCAGAAGCAGCAAATCCTCCTACCAACCAGTCCACTGCGCTGCGTCTGACAAGTAGACCACGGACCTTTTTCCTTCATATGAAAGCTGCTCACTGGGCACAGCCTTCCTGGGTTTCTTCATGTTTGCACAACTTTAAGCTCA